AGGTAACGATAGGGACATAAATGTCATTGGCTAGTGAAAAAAACACCCTGACCTCTATTCAAAATAAAATTATATGCATGTGTTTAAATAGTCTTGCATATTTATTCAATATCATAAACAGTATTGTGCTTCTACAATTAACATCTGTGCAGTTACTGTTATTGCTTTCGGGGCCATACGCAATAGCATGAACAATGATAGATGAATTAAATTATATTATCTGCATTGTAGTATTAATTCAGTAGACCACAGTGCCATGGAACAATAAACATGTAACATATGTCAGGGCGAGGGTTGGCTGAAAGGTTCTGGGACTAATTAGGAAGGCTGTAAAACACACCGTCAGCAGTTATCATGCATCAAATGCAATTCTCCCTATGCTTACAAGCTGATGTTGAACCATATGGAAAAGCTGCAGGTCTCCAATCTGCTAGGTTGCTGAAGCAACATGGAAAGAGGTTGGCTGTCGCAATGTCATCAAGGTGGAGGTTACAAAAAGACTATGAAACGTTAGTACAGATGAATACAATAGACAAAATAGCTGTGGAAATCGTATGAGATGAGTGAGTGAGTATAGTTTTACCCCTCACTTGGCAATATTCCAGCTATATGGCAACGGTCTGTTAATAATGGAGTCTGGACCAGACAATCCAGTGATCACCAGCATGAGCATCTACGCAACTGGGACATGTGTCAACAAAGACAGCGAGCCTGACCACCCAGTCCCGTTAGTCACCTTTTATGACAAACATGGGTCGTATGAGATTATCTAAGATCAGAAAGACCTTCATCTGCCCCCACTCACACAGCCAATACAATAGGCATCTCTCGTGAGAGAGATGAGAATATTCTGAGGAATGAACTGGGTATGACAAAAATTTCGGCACCCTGACTTCCGTGTCCTCTGAATCCTGATCAGAAAGTCTCTAGGCTCCTCATGTTTCGTTGTTTTGAATCAGACCCAGGTGGTTTGTTTAACGACCTGTAGCCAAGGATCAGTCTCAGATCCACCTCCACCTGACAGAGACTACACAAATAGTCATGGAGCTGAAAGCAGTCTCCTCCTAATAAGTTTTGTCCATCGGTTGGTCAGTTTACTTCTGGACTACCTCCCAACTGGTCAGATAATATGGCCAATACCATGCTAATCTGCTCAAAGAACCGAGTGAGAGTTCCAAGCAGCGTTCGAAAATAATCGCCGGCCTGGAGGCCCAGCGCCGGTTGTTATTGTATCGGGCCTGCAGTTTCAAAAATTTGCAGGCCCTTGTGGCCTTCAGTAAATTATCTGTCATCTTTTTTTCAACTGGAACCTTTTCCAAAATTATTTTTTAACGTTCGGGAATACGATAACTTACAGTTTCACTTCCTGGTGTTTCCGCACAGGCATGTCAACACCAGTCTTTAACAAATGAACACTTCTCTCTGGCTTCGCTAATTGATTTTGTAGATACAGTGTGAAACTGTGTAGTCGATTTTGTTTTATTGGCTTGAGGGCCTGCAGATTTCATTCAGGGCCTGTAGATTTTAAAGCCGGCAGGCGTCAGCAGGCCCTGATTGCCAACTGACAAATTAAGTATTGCAAACACTGGTTCCAAGGCTATATCTTGTGGACAACTCACGAACGTATTTAACCAGAACAATGCCTTCAGTGCACCTTGCCTACAGTGTTATCAAACTACTTCATGGTTCAGGGCACACAATAGCAAACCTTTATCCCTGTACGTTAATGTCAACAAACAAGGAATACTTTTAGATAGGGTTATTAGAGTTGTAGTTTATTTTATATATATGAACATAATAAAAAATGGATAACAAATATTTGACATTCTGAGAATATTGGTCTCTGCGGCAAAAACAATACAAACATACTATTTCTCTCCAAAAAGTCTTTTTGTGTGATTGTAAACAGCTTCAGCGCCTAAAGGCGGCAAGTTTAACTTTTTCTTTTGTTTTAGAAGCGTTTGAAGAACTATCCTCCAAAACGTCACAAAGAAAACGGACGTGCAAGTACGAGGAAAAGCATGCGGTATCGATCACTATAAAAAGGCAAACGTTGTGTTTAATTGTGCCATTCGTTTTTGCCTAGAAAAGAGGCAATCATCATACCACGACTGAGTGCCGCCAATCGAATCATCGCCAATAGGCCGCTTTGATGCTGCAGTTGCCCGACATTTCAACGTCCATCAGAGCACCATATCTCGCTTTTGGGATCGTTTCCTGCAGATCAATTCCGCGGCCGTCCAAGCGTTACCACCCAAGCCCAGGGGCCAGGACCGCTACATCCGTGGAGACTGAACAAAGCATCCATGGTTTGAGAAGAATTTCAGACCCAACTGAAGTGGGGGTTCGACCAAGAAGGCCAGTTGTCGCCCATGTTTTGAGAGACTTTCATCCGCGGAATCGTTGGCTTTGGTGTCGTAGAGTCCGGAACTGGAATATTAGGAACTTCGGTGATGAATCACGATTTCTTCTTCAACGGCGAGATAGAAGACAGCCTGTGTAACGTCCCCTAATTGCATTCGACAGATTCGGTGGAGTCAGTGCTATGGTGTGGACTGCGATATCCAGCACACAAAGATCTGATTTAGTGGTGGTTCAGGGGAATTTGACAGCAAATCGGTACAACAACGAAGTCCTTGCTCGTCACATGTTTCCGATTATGGACCGTCAGAGGGAGTTGTTCCAGCATGACAACGCTACTTCACATACAGCACGCGTCACAGTCCGCTACTTTGCCAATTCTAACGTTTTTGTCTTGCCTTGGAGTTCCCGGTCACCAGGACGTAGGTAGAGATTATCACCCTCCCTAACGGTCGCAGTCACATAGGGCGTCTCGGAATGATACGGGGCACGATATGGAAAGGAGGGTCATAATATGTTTATCACTTAATACTCACCATGTTAGAATCTATCATTCTTAAAACCCTTTCATACTCTACAAAAATATTTCACTCAGTCACTCAAAAAGATGCCCCCACCAAATTTTATTCAACAGTAATTCAACAACAGTAGATCTAAATGTCAATTTTCTTCTTGTGTTTTCGTTTTTCGGGTTTTTCATATTCCGTGTCTCAATAAATTCATCCGAAGGAATTTGATCCCGCTCCACTTATTCATCTAGTTCCATCAACCTATTGGAAAGCGACGTTAGCATCACCTTCCAGTTTCATCAAAGGTTGCCGCAACTAAATCTGACGTCATGGAACACATGACGTCATTGTATTGTGTTACGTTCCATGACGTCGCATGCAAAATTGAGGGGTCAGATATCGGTTATCTTCCCCGCTCGGAGCAGGGAAGATATAGAGAATACTACACGAGGTCTCATTACATACGAATTATACGAAACGAGTGTCCTTCCTATGGTATCTGACCGAGCGAAAGCGAGGTCAGATAACATAGGAAGGTCACGAGTTTCGTATAATTCGTATGTAATGAGACCGAGTGTGGTATTTTATTTATTACCCACGTCTTACATGCATTTAAATTGACAAAATAGCGTATTTTTGTTATGTTTTTGGTTTCAAACCGAAACCGGTTTCATAAAGAGGTTGCGGAAGAGTTTTGTACTGTAGTACAATATTTGCATGACGTCACAGTAATGACGTCACTGCCATGGTAACCGACGTCACGATGCATGTCAGTTGTCATCGCCTCGTACAGCCTCCTACAGTAAACTACTCCGTTGCACCTCGTTTCTTGGTTTCCAGTTGCTTCATTCGGCTAACATCACTGGTGGAAACATTGCGTTTATGTTTTTTCGACGGATATAATGTCTCAGTTCGACTCACAATTAAACAGCGACACGACAACGTTCGCAATGTTTACATTCCCACAATGCATTTAAGTTGTAGAATGAATGAATTCACGTGTTTGTTATGAATGAAAAAATAGTTACGTCAGAATGTGACCTAATTGAGAGGTCATCGGTTATCCAATCAAATCGTTAGAATTTCAGGTCAAGTCGTTACGACACAGGTCAACGCGATACGACACTCGTGTGACGTACGAGATTAGTATGCAACTACCCATACGTTGACCACGTGGGTAATAAATAGGTTATCTTGCCGGGTCCAGATATGGACCCAACGATTTTGCCAATATCGGGGTAGAGCAAAGAAATGCACATACGGGGAAATTATTACTGTATTAAGTGATAAGGTCTAATATGACTGGAGAACAGAAGCACTGCTGACATCTCCTCATCATATATGCGTCGATATCGTACGATAGTCGTCGAGTTACTTAGTGATGGAAACCATGCTTAGAACTACGATTGTTTACAGGTCCCACCAACGAGACTAGGTCCACGGCCCTTGTTCACGAAACAATATTAGAGCCTCTATCGTCTAATTCAGTGTTACGACAGTAACGTCAGGGTTCCGTTCCACAAAGTGGATCGTAAGGGGATCGTAACTCTCTTACGTTATCATTGGCACACGAACAATGCCTCCAATTAGGAGATAAACATCATGTGTTGAATATTCCCGTGCTTCAAATACTCAATAACACCCGGAAATTGGCCAACACATGATGTTTATCGACATTGTAAACACAAAAGTAAACCAAAAGGTCCACACACGTTATTGTGTCTGCACTCATTAACATCGAGTACGGGTACAGCAGTGAAATGTCATCAGCTGTCTCCCATGGTAGCATCTGGAACTGCTCATTTGTGACATCATTCGTACTTTACGTCTCAATATGATTTAATGACGTCATCACAGCTGACGACGTAACAATACAATGGTGTGAGCGATGTTTCTATGTAATAATACGCAGCGAATTTCCGGGAATCGAATACCAATTGATCACGTTTTTTAACCAATCAAATTAAAGAACACAGTGACTTTTGGTTTACAATATAACTTATGACTGTGAAAACGGTTTTGCCGGTTGCATTAACGCAAGCCCTAAGTTGGCTTTGTGGAGCGGTGCCCTGGTGGCCGGGCAGCTGGTCGTGCAGCGGATAGGAAGTAAACCCCCATCACCTCACTCACCTCGCTGAGTCCTTGCAGGAACCGGATTATACAGGTAAACACAAAACTGATCTCATCGATAGAAACAGGGAGGAGGAGATTTAGAGCTGAAGACAACAGGATGCTGCCCCCATATAACCTGAAACCAAGGAATATAACGCAATGAGGATTATATTTATGTCTCAACCACAATGTCCAGTCATCTGTTTTGTGGCGCTGGATGTAATTTTAAATGTCTATACCACGGTACTATCTATACAGTGAAAAAATAAATTCACGTACTTACACGGTAATGTTTCAAAATGTATACTTTTCAAAAAAAACCCATATCATTCTGAATAATATTTATCAGATCTTATAATCAATGAGAGTTCATCAGCGTATATCTAAACAATCCAATCGTTCACAGAACATCGTCTCGGACACGTATCGTTTCACAACAGTTTAAATTTAACTGACGGTACTGATCCAAGTAGATTTTTGTACGCAAATGTGTATCTTTTTCCACGACAGGATCCGCTAATATATGTTTTACAAAGATCAGCATTACACAAATATCTGCCTGTATGAGCATACCATTTATACATAAATTGTATATTTAAATGTCATATTTCATGCAACATTTAATACTAGTAAACGTAATAACAATTTTGTTGTGTAAAATATATACTACAATGGAGGATCTAATTGCAATAAACGTCAGCGAAACGGTAGAATTACAATGCATTCAACACTAAAATATATTATGAGTGCGTTAGCAGCTGTTTTCGCTGAATTACACAATATTTCAATCATATCACGAGGTTACAACTCAAAGTGGGACTGAAGCTCAGAGAATGTAGCACGTTTGCATCATTCGTGAACAAGACGAGCAAGATATGGTGACAGACCCACACTCATGATATAAGGTTCAAACCCCTCATGTGTAGGATTCTTTGTCACTCATCAGCAGGAACTCAACTATCACAGTGCCCAAAGCTTGTGCACTGTCCGTGCCTCTGTAGTGCTGATCGGATGAAACCGATGTGAAGAACATTACTGCAATACACAATTCAAGTACCTGTGACACGGAATTCTGGTTGCTAGGTACCCTGCGGGTAGATGCGTGATGAGGTACCCCATGTAGAACACACTATGGAGGAAGCCGATCATCCTTGTGTCCCATTTGACGTTCGGGAGCTGGCAAACAATGACATCTTAATAGTTTATCAGAACATATACGGTAACAACAAACAGTGGAATCATGTTAATATATGCGCTGCTCTATGCTCAAACTGATATAAGGATAGTTGAAGAACATAAAGAGAGGATTCTGAGTTTCTTGAAGTATGAGCTGATCCATTTTGCAAAACACATCAGATACAAACAGAGGATTTTCATTTTATATGAAGAAGTTTACACAAACTCTCATGTGAAGAAGGTGAATATTTTCTATACTGGCGTACATATATATTGAACTAAAGACATTGGATGTTTATTTCTATACACACGGACGTACATACACATTGAACTAAAGAGAGTGGGTTCTCATTTCTATACGCGCGGACGTACATACACACTGGCATAAAGACATATTGATTTCCGTATGCCATGACGTACATATTGACATACAGACATTGGATTCCCGTTTTATGTGCGGGCATGCATACAAATGATAAATTCCTATTTCTATGACACGAGGATGTTTTCATATAAAAATGTGTACACACACTGTAGCTCAGTGGATCCTCTGAATAATTCTGCATAAATATTCACATTCATCTGCGAATGCATCGTTTTTTCATGAAGAGTCATAGACTGGATTTGAATATGAATTATGACCTAAATTTATTCAATTTCCATGATTCCGTTCAATGTCTGAAGTGATATTTTCACATGTAACATTGAATATTGTGTATTTATTTTATAAATGCGTGTTTTCACATCGGGAAATCTACATACTACTGAAAAGAAAGTTGACGAATGGACTGTACTTACATATATGTATGGAAAAAGGGTATAGAGGGTGTAAAGTGTGAAATGGTAAGGGGGTAAATATATGGAAAACGTTTTTACTTCAAGGGTAAAATGTAAAATGTGGTTCAAAATAAGTTAAAAAATTAGAAACTGACAAGTGTTATAATATGAATTCACGTTTGTTAATAATGGATGCAATGATGTGTTACGCTGCAGTCAACAACATGCCTGAAAATGTAGGCGTTTGTCTCAGAAACCCAAACAACCGTTAGAGTATGCACACAATTATCCAAATATCATACATTACCATATATCCTATCATATAGGTCTCCCCTCCGAGTGAGTATGGTTTGATGCCATTTTGTAGAATATCCGTATAGGAAAGGGTTATAAAAATGTATAAAAAGACAAAAGAAAATATTTGCAAAAGTCCTCTTCAAACCGAAGATCAATGGACATTATAAAGAAATAAACGTCATAAACCACCTCCCTAAACCATATTAGTATCATAAGGGAAGACGGGGTGTATTGGCGGGTGTCTTGAACAAAACTAATGCACTAATAATCTCACCCCCAGTCGCTGCAGCTGTTGATAATTAGGAAATATGTGAGTACGCTTCAAACGTTGCCTTAACTACATACGGACTTAGAAGAGCCAATGGTACTTAAAGGGGAAGACTCAAAGTCTGAATGTTTCAAAATATGAATTGGTTGTTTCTTTAAGGAATATAAATTTGCTCATTATTGCGACAGGTTCTACCTGTGTTCAGCGCTACCATCGCTGCGCTGCACGAAGCGACACAAGTCGGAGGATCGAAGACGAGAAGCTGTCTATCATTGAAAGGGATATTCAATAATGAGGTACAGTCAAACTGACACGTTTTGTGTCGTGTTTACACGACTTACAGCGTGAAGCTACCGTGAACCTCACCTTATTATGCACAGTATTTATAAACAACTACACAATATCCTGCTGTACCCATTCCCCATCCCATGCTTGAAAACGGTATAAGAATTTATACCGAAAGGTCGCAATAGTACAAGAACTTGGTCATCATAAATACTTGTCATTCCTATTGCTTGCAACTTCTAGAATGCCTCTCAAACAGTTCAAACAGTACACATTCTCCCTTCAGAGACTTCAGGTAAAGGAACTGGTTATAACAAACATGGTGAAATGTGAAATCTGAGAAATATTATCACAAGACATAATGATTTACCTTTTATATTGTGTTTGCGTTTCTGGTAGGCCGAGCAACATACACTGATATGGATGAAAGTATATCGCACGTTTGAACCATTGCTTGCTATTGACGGATACGTTTCATGTATGGAACAGATAGCGAATGAAGACAAAATGCAAATATTATAATTACAAGCAAAATACGTTATGTGTATGATATCATGCATTTACCGTTATCGAGGAATATATCCGCCACTCTCCACAAACAGGAACAATAGCTCATTCATCCTAGCTGTACAAGAAACATGTCGGGTTTCGTTGTAACAATTCAATATCTAAAACTATCTCGAGATATTATAAAACGTGTTCAACTAATCACGGAAGTTTTTTCAGCTGATTCACATCGGTGTCATGTCTCATTGGTCAGCTGAAATAGCACGCGTGACATCTATTTTTTATATTTACGGTTCTTTAAAAGGTGGATTTAGCTAGACATAAGTGAACAATCAATCAACGTTTCACTGGCTAATTCTTTGAAGAATTTTGTTTTTACATAGGCGCCACGATATGGGTGTATTCCGTCTGCTCTAGTCAACCTACATCCATAAACATCTTTTTACAAATCCACTGTGCAAGATAACAACGCTCAATCAGTCACCGTATTATCGATTAATTCTTAAATTAAAGACTCAACTGGCCATTCCTTTCTTGTTGTGCTGTCGAGTGCATATTACATAACTTGCAAGACATTCACCACATCAAAAGTGTAACCCAATCTTTGTACAATAAGAAATTGCACCAGACACCACTAATGCCCCAAACGAACCACAGATTGCAATACTTCAGAGGTGGGGGGTGGGGGTTGGGGTGTTGGGGAACTTAATTGAGTTATTTTGCATAGTCGAGGTAATCCGACGGCTGTCACCAGAAATTAATGCTTGTGATAAAACCATGAATTGAGCATCAAGTGAATAATGTATCACATGCAGTCTGCCTGATAAAGAAAGGTTGTTACTGTTTTGAGTGCATAAAGTGAACTTCATTTATGCAAATAATGCGTACAAGTAACTGTTGTATACCGAGGTACATAACTGTTCATACAGATGTAGACACGTGTTCGAGTTTGCAAGGTGAAAGGTTTTGGTAAGCATAATCCGATCAAATGTTAGCACTCACGGGGATTCCCCTGTTTGTCAACGAGGTCCTTCCCAGCTGTACTGAAACCCAGTTCGTGGAGTCGCTGACGCTAACTGGCACCCGCTGATTACCCGGGCTAATTACAATGGCGACGACTAAAAGCTGGGAGCGTTGCGTCCCTTTAACGGTGAATACTCGGATGGTAGGTGATTGGAGATTATTGCAATGTTATCCTAATCAAAACAGTTATTTAGCTGGTTTGCTTTTTACGTCCAATAAAATTGATTGTTTTAAGATATTTGAGACAACTCATTCTCTTGCCTATTATAAATTAATGATAAATTTATCCAATATATTGTTAATGACAATATGATGTTTCAGTGTATATTTGGATGAACTATCCCGGCAATGATTCAGCACATACGGTTAAGGATTATTCATGGCCTTCTGAAAACGTCAAATTTTACAGTTTCGGAAAAATCTTGATATACTGGTAAACAAATTGCGTGTGAACTGGAAGTTGGGATTGGAACAAGAATTCAGAACTGCAGATAACTTTTTGGGTCATTGGGCTATGTACTCGCGTGTGTTCATCTCAAATGGGTATCCTAATTGTCCTTTGAGTAACCAAATAAATTGTACCCACCTCACTCAAACTCAATTGGGTATTTTGCTATTTTCCATTAATTTTAAATCTATAAGAAAGTTTAAATGTTAAGGTTTGTTATTTATATTTATTCTGTAATATGAGAAACTGTAAGAAAGACTCCAAGTTGCCAAGTTCCTGAAATACAACCTCTCAATATACTTCAGTTATTTCATCTATCCACAGGTACGCAAGCTAAGGTTTGACATTTTTGTGTATAGGCATGTAAGATCACATTAATTGAGTTTTTACAAACTTTCAAGCGTACTTGTACGCAATAGACTTAATAGGAATTGAGGTTTCACATAAATATTTGCGTAATGTACGCGGATACGCAGCTTATCTGTACCTCTGAAAAAATATATATGTGTATATGCATATGTATATATGTATATATATATATATATATATATATATATATACACACACACACACATATATTCTAGCCATTAGAAATCAAAGTAACCATTAACTTAATGTCTGTACTGTTCTAATTGCTTTGGTTTGATCAAACATAAACATAAACGCTAAACTAATTTCTACTTAGCCAGTAAAAACACAATGTATCTGTTTGAGGTAAGGATTGTAATTATCAGTAATTTGCCGTAATCTGCGTTATGCTTCATGATCTGAGTGTTGGTGTCAATAGTTTTTCAAGAGCAAATATTTTCGGTTGTGTCTTTGATTTCCGCAAAAGCGCAACCTCAGGCATGCAAAGTAGGACTAAAGATTTAATGAGGAGGATAAAAGCAGCTGGATATTCTATATATACTGAACCGCAAAAGAAACGCGACTTTTCAAAACCAAATGCAAAATGTTGTTCTGACAAGGTGGTATTTTTATTGTGATTGCAACATTTTGTCAACATGTTTTTCAATGCAAACTGACAGTTATTACCAACATCAGTGTGTGTTCTGATGAAAAGCATATCGACCAAACGCACCTAAAAAGACAGACGTGGTAAAAGGTTCCGTATGACATTCGTGAAAATGAAAATGCACGTGCAGATCGTGAGAACCCTACCAATGAAAGCGAATCCCAAACACGACTGAAATCTTTCTTGTGTTGACACAATCGCCATACCACGACGAGAGATGAGAGGAACCAAGCCATGGGACGAGTGCAAGTTGGCCAGACTGCACGGAGGGTAACCAACCACTTTAAGGTTCATGTAAGGACAATCTACCGACTGCAGGAATGATATCCGGCCACTAACAGCATCCAAGACCGTCCACGCCGTGGACGACATGCAGTAGC